TGAAAGTTTGTCAATTTTAAACCGATCGGGCTGAGACTTTGCATGCATAAAACTATTATGACGTAGGCATCCATAGAAAGGATTTTAACAAATTCCACCCCTAAAGGGATTAAATTGGGGATGAAAGTTTGTATAAATCTTCTTAGATTTTCGACTGATTGAGCTGAAATTAAAGATTGGAGCTACTATGATGAAGACGTTCGCTGAAATAGGATTTTAATAAATTCAACCCCCATGGGGATAAAATAAGGGATGATGCAGGATGTAAATGTATTAGTTTGAACCTATCAGTACCTAATGGAACGAATAAATTAAGACGAACAAAATAATTTTTAGTTCTTTAGGCTACTTTTATTCTAGAAAAATAAAGTTAAATTCCACACGGATGAAGTCGCGGGAACAGCTAGTTGTCCCATATGTCACAATGCTCAAAAAGGACATAATACTATGTACTTATTTTTATTAAGATTGTATATATAGATGATGATTAGTTTATTTCAATAAAGGCATTAAAAACGAAAGTAATTAATGCATTAATTAAAATATATAATCTTCTGCAGGACAAGATATCCACAAATTTTATTAAAATCCTTCCACATATTCAAGCGTAATCTCTTTATTAAGTTTCATTGAAATCTGTCTTCCCTTCAGTTTGAACAGCTAAAACAAACCGTTCATGAATCGTAACAAAAATCAGCATGAACAAACACGCGAGGATTGTTGATTGCAAAATGTCCGCGCGTATTGGCGAAGACACGGCGAAGAAATACCGTTGAATTTAACACCTCCTACTTTTGACAGTGAAAGGAAGGTAGTCCTGCGGTAAGTTTAACAGAATTTCTTTAGGGGACAATTCTAGGTCACTACCGACACGTGATGCATGTCTACACCGTTGTGCTCAAACAATATTATTACTATCAAACCTTATCAAAAATCATTCAATGGATGTATTGATATGTATTCAAATAAGTCGGATCATTATCGCATTAGTCACAGGATTGAAATACCCGAAAACTTGAATGAGTAAAGCGGTGGCGAATAGATTTTTCCAAACTGGCAAGAGTGACGTCACGTACCCCCTGTACATGACGTCACTCTTGCCAGTTCAAGAAACATAGATGACTCATTCAGATCTCAGCTTACAAAAATATGAAGTGTCTTATAAAATAAATACTAAGAATCATTAAGGCCGGTGTATAGTTTTAGGACGTCGCCTTACTTCTGATATCGCGGGTTGAATTTTCACACGATAAAAACATTGTGTACTCATTTGATTGTTCACAATGGTCTAGTATTTTTATGCATGATAAATACTAAGTTAATATTTCCTATGTATATTATGTATGTATTGAAGTGTTTCTATCAGTTCTTTAGTATCCATAGTCCAAGCTCTGCTTAGTTTGAGGCTATATAACGCAGTGTTAATTGCCCTAGGTTATCATTATTGTATATACTTATAAAAACATCTGTCTTAAAACACACTCAACAGTTCCAAGTCTAGAAAGCTGACATTTGGGCCACAGTTTTTATAATGTAAGTATCGGTAAGAAAGAATTTTTGAAAATTTCAACTTAAGACACCACGCGTGCTATAAATTACCGTAAAACCTGTTAAATACGATCTCGTTTAATATACCAATTCATGTCAGTCAGACTGCTGTCAGTTGGCTCGCGAGATACAGCTATTAAGATCGCTACACTGTTACATTATTACATAATTAAACAATTGATTAATGTTCATTGCGCAATATTATCAACTAGACAAAAACTCCAGATACCGTTGGAAAATGAAACACTCAACACTTCTCTCACTTCATATCAAATATATTAATTTTATATTTTAAGGATCCAAAGTCATCTAATAATCTACGAATAAACTTCTAAACATTTCCAAAAATCAAACTTAATAATAATAGGCCTAATACAATTTAATTTCAAGATTAATTATAAATTTGTACTTAGAAACTGTTAAAACTAGTTAGATAACAACTTAGACATTCGTAACTTATATTTATCAAGAACCTCCTCAAATTTAACTTTAAAATGAAAATGTAATTACAATAAGATACACTTGACACAATGAAGAAATAAATTTGTTTCAATTTATTCAAATTATCTCGCTAGAAGACCTGCAGGCCTACTCTTAAATCCAATTTCAATGCCGATGACAGTCTAATCCTGTTCAGTGCTGTTTGAGTTTGATGAGTACCAAACTCTTTGATTTCGCATGCATAACTCAGTCTGCTGGTACTGATTTTTATCATCACTACATCCGGACTAACAACATATGTTTTGATACACAAATTATCACATAATTATATAAAAAACTATCGGCAACTGTCACACGACTCCTATTATTATGCGGAATAAATTAGTAACTTCCCGCGAAGCCACAAGAACCTTAATTCTGACGACTTTTTAATTTATTTGGGCTCTCCTCCGTAAGGACTAATGACGAAAAAAGAGGTGAAAAAGCAGATAACGGTGCTCGAGGGATAGAAACAAGACAAAAACTTGAAACGGGTTGCTACGACCCACGTTTATGCGTCGAAACGGCGCTAGTGTTTTTTTCTTTAGCATTCTAAGCTCACTGAGGTATGTTGGTTAATTTATGCAGCATTTGTATGTATTGCTATACGAATACATCTTACACTGTGCTTACAATTAGTCATTATTTTTTTTATTTTTCAATGTATTTTATTTATGTTGTTCACTAGCTTAAACCCTTAATATTCGGTAGCGAGTTTCAAAACTAATTGTAGATATTATTATAATGGATACATATAATATGTATAATCTAATATAATAAGGAAAGCATTGGATGCGAGCAGCGCAGGACCGATCATCATAGAGATCTTTGGGGAAGGCCTATGTATGTCGAGCAGTGGACGTCTTCCGGAGTGCGATGATGAAACAATGTATGTTTCAAACATACAATAAAATTTAAAATTACATCTTTTAGATATAAGTTTTGACTATGTTATTTGCCAAAAATGGTTTACTTTCGCCAATATAAAGTAAATATCTATACATATTTGTATTTTCACACCACGTTTCTATGGCATAGACAGAGCATTTAGTATTCACGGGGAGAAATAAATATGAATCATTCGATAAAGTGACATAAATCTCGACTTCTTTACCACAAAAGTACTTCATAATACAAACAAACACATCACACTATCGGCTGGGAAACAAACACAACGGCATTTTATCTCAGTACTGTCATTTTTCCCGTTTACCCACATTCACGAATATTTTTGTGTCCCGGTCCATTCACCAAATATACGTTTATCTATTTACATCCTTATCGAAGGGTCGCCCTTCGCGGAAGCGGGGTTATCGACTGTCGATATCGACTGCCTACACTCAACTTGATAAAGCGTGAGTGTGAGATTTGGTTTTGAATCACGAATCGCCACTCTCGCACCCGATGTAACTTATATTCTGTTCCAAATGCCGAACTCCTGTGATTGATAAGGAAATTCAACTTTATAACGTCGACCAAAAGTTCAATTTTAAACATCAAGGAAATAATTCTTACTTGGAATATTACTATGCTATATTCAGTGGTGTTACTCACCCTGTTTAAAATACAACGAGATTTATGCTAACAGATAAAATTGCAAAGATATGTATGATGAAGGAGTCAAGAGGCTCCTCCTCTTTCAAGGAGTTTACGGAACGGTTCTAATATACATAAGACAAGTTATAAAATTGAATGAAACCTGAGTTGTGTGTAATGATAGAAACAAATGACGCTTGGATCTCTCTGTCTACCAAGTTAGAGAGCTATCGTAAACATTATTTGTTTATTTGCCGTAGACCATACTGTTGTCTTCTAGTTAAAATGGTTGACCTATGACTGTGAAATTACTAAATGCAATGACTCAAGACCTTAGACAAGACATATCACAGGGATCAGCTATTTAAGTACATAAGCTGTAATATGACCTCATATTTGATATCTTGAAATTTACTGCACTTCTACAAATCCTTGAAACTTAAACACCCATGACCCATTAGTGGAATTACCTCATGACCAGACATAGTATTCTATTTAAGTTCACAATCAACATTTTTGGTCTAAAATTACAGTGTGGGATGAAGCCTAATAAAAAAACAGCGTCAATAAATGACGTAAAGTCTCTCAACTTTTTGCTTTAAAAACTTGAGATCTCAAGTGGCGCAACTCAGGAATTCTATTTACGGATTTATTACTAGAAATAAAATCTTCCAATTTTTCCGTGGCCGATGATAAGCGGGTCAAAGAGGCCGTGCCCTATCTCTATTTATAAACTACTAGACGCCATCTCCGCCCGCAGAACCCGTTTCTGTACCGCTCTATGGATATTTCCAAAAACCATTTCCTAATGGAGATCACAGGTATTTGGGATTACAAAGATATTATTGTTACATTAAGCCTGTGTCCCTATTTATTGCTAAATACAAACACCCTATTTCGATCTCAAATTTGGAGTTTCTAAATTAATTTCAGCAGCTAGAGTGACCACATACGTAGGGTTGCAGGTAATAACTGGAAGAGAAGGGGTGAATATCGTGCCCCGTGACGTGCCTTGAGAGAGGCCATGTCCAGCAGTGGACTGCAATAGGCTGATGATGATCATAATTAAATTAATTTCATATCAATAAGTTCATTAACAAGGCGAAATACATAATTGTCATGCGAATTGAGGTACTAGCACCATTGCACCTTTTTATTTACATCTCTTTTATGTTTTATGAAGAACTATTACATAATACATGGTACTACAGACTGACATTAGTCAATAACTGCTGTATACTTATTTGAGGAATCAATTTGCGTATTTATCGGTCTACGAACCTGTATAGTAACCTCTAGTAGTTACTTTGTAAATGCTTGTAACTAATAGTGACAATATGGAAATAATGAAGAACCTCGTTTTCGGGAACGACATTAAACAAAAGCTTCCAAAAGCCTTGTGAATATAAATAAAGAAAGAAATAAACTTTACTTACATTAGATATTATTAGTATACCGCTGCTTGTTGTTGCATCTGTAAATAAATAAATACATGACTTTATTATAAGAAATTTACAGAATTCATGAGTAAGAATTACTAGTACCATATAAATAAAAAAATATATAAATCAAAGTCAAGATGTTTCCATACTCAATAAATATAAATTTAATGTAATCAACATAAGTTGCACCCAATATGGCAACTGGATATATTCAACGCTAACTTTTTTGTATACAACTAAAATGGCGTACCAGTTGACAGCCCACCTGTTAGAAAGTGGCAACCGTACCTACTAGACAACTGATATAAATCGTTAGAAATTTTCGTTTTATAAATACATACATATTATACCCACATAGAAAAAACCCACATCAATACAAACAATCAGGCTCATGAATACAAAAGTTTGCACCATGAGATAATCGAACCCGCGGCCATCGTAAATAAAGCAGTGTGCTAAACTACCGAGGCCTTGAAATATATAGGTATAACAATGGATATAGGTATCCTTCTTGTGATTAATAAGAACCATACAAAATTTATTTCATATTAGCGATTATAGTAAACAGCAAACATAAAAGTCAAAGGGATGTCGAAATAAAAATGGAAATAAAAGATAAATGTATATTAACATATTTAACAACCAATTATACATTATCATAGTACCATTATATAAAATAATTCAATTTACACGACCTTATAGAGATTGGTGTCGACAAACTGGGCGGGTAGAAAAAAAAGTGACAAAAAATGGCATCGAGCATTGCTCTCTGATCATAAATATGTATGTATCCGATGTGTTGCCTCATATTAAAATAATAAGACGTACATATAGAAGGAAGTAATGCATATATGTATGACTATATAATAATATACTGAACTTGACTAGAACCATAGGAGGAACGAACAGACGGACATGTGAATGACAAAGGAAATTAAAGGCTATAATTCAAGAAGTGTCAATCCAGTTGCATCAAAACAAAAGTAGTAACGACTATAAACAAAGTGGCACTGTGTCATCTTGACAGTAAACGAATATAAATATCTTTATTAATAGAACGCAAAACAGTTCTTTAAAATTCATAATTTAATGTCTGCGACGAATGAACGCGTGATCACACCCTATCTACCGTAATCCAAAAGGATATACACACTTCAAAGAATAAATTCAATTCGAGTTGCACATACAAATTGGATGTAACCTACACAAACATGCACAAGGCGTATGATTCTGCGATTTCTCAGTAATGAACGTCTCAACAGCAACGTATGCGTGAATCACACCGGCCGAAACTAGACAATTTTATGACTCATCACTATGTGTAATTAAAGGAAAAATAATTGTACAGTTCACATTAGATAATGCTAATCATATCTTTCTTAATATGAATTAGAGGAGACATCGACGTAAGTAACTTATAAAATAAAACACAGTTCACTCTAAATCAATTTTGGCCAATAAGTTTTCTTTAATAAACTTATTTGAATAACAAATAGTTAAATATGACGGTAGCAATGCCGTTTATATAATGTTTACAGAATAGTAAAATATAAATAAAGATTTTTCGGCAGCTGTTTCGTTAAATGATTTCGAATTATCGTGATTGAAACATCACATAATTTGAATATATTTTTTTCTAAGTAAGGTTGTGTATAAGAAGCATTACTAAAACATCATTACATCTAATCATGTTGAACGGTCATCGGCCCATCTGAACGGATCTGAACCCGTGACCCGCGCATCCGTAGCCTATCAACACGAATAACGCAATGCTTACCAGTAATAAAAATGTATGAGTAAAATGGTACATCACTAATTTTCTTTAAATAGTCAAAGTATAATGCAATTTGTGTTACTTTCTATACATAATCCATAATAATACTATAAATGCAAAAGTATGTCTGTCAGACAAACGGAACTTAACGAATTTAATGAGAAAATAGATTGTCATGAGGACAGGCAATAAGCATGTCATTTATCTTAAAAGCAGACGAAGTCGCGGGTAACCATTATAACTTAAGTACATAAATAAATCTTTAATAATTTTATGCCTATTTACCCTTTCAAACTATACAAAGTGACATATTAGTTAGAAACCAGTAAATAAATAATTTATATAATAATAAGAGTAACATAACATAAGTATTAACCCGTGGATATCTGTATTGGTTTTACTATTATTAATTCATATCTATGTACTTAAATACATACTACACTGTGCAACTGTTTGTATCCCAAATAAAAAAAAAAAAGTGTATACGAAGTATCTTTAGGAGGGTTCACCAGCAACGTTGAAAGTATTAATTTCAGTAGGTCTAATATCATTTATTTGGCATTACTCCTCTACCTACTTATTTAGACCTGTAAGATGAATCTGATCTGAATCCAATACTTCATTCGTCAAAATTAATAAATCGATTCATAATTAGCAAAGATATCGCAAATAAGGCTCGACAGAATTCCATTTCAGAGAACAAATGAGCGCAGACGATTCGATTAAGGAAAAGTGAGAATTATCAAATATAGACATCAAAACACTATAAATATCACACAATAGACTGACGCAGATGGTGGCTGTTTGTGTGTAAATTTGTATTTTCTGTCATACTCTCTGGTGATAGAAACACTGATTACGTGACAAAATCGTTTGTATTAAGCGAAATATATGTGCTGCCCTAACTGGAATAACAATCTGTATTTTTAATTAATACAGATAACTAAAACAATAATACGAATTTAAAATTATTTCTGATTTCAACTGACAATTGACTATTATCTGATTATAGATAACGTTATAGTATCATCATTTGACAGAGATGATTCTATGTCGCTATCCACAAAATCATTTCTATTGCAATATGTACCAATGATAAAACACTGTAGCGTGACACACGGTGGCGCAATAGATAATTTTGTGAGATCGTTAAGTCGTACATCATAAATGTAACTTCATTATCTATACAAGGATGATATGATATTTTATGTTAGTGAAGTAATTTATTTAATGTCCTACTCCTACAAAATCTTCCACAGACGGAATCAGGTCAGCGCTATCAAGTTAGTTATATATTCCTCAATTCAGTGAATATAAAAGCAGATATAAGATCTTTTCCATGATGTAACAGAATTCGGAGCCAAAAATCAAAAATGTCTAACTATTTGCATTACGATACGAATGTATTATTAATCATCTAAAACAGGGAAAACATTTTGAGGGATCTCCGGATATCCGGATACCCTTAGATCCGGATATCCGGATTGGACTACACTGCAACGATACGCGTTAAAATTTAACGTTAATAAAATGCGGATACCTTGAATAAGATTTAACCCCCCGAAAGGTTTCGATTCTGGATTCCTTGGTTATCCGTATATTTACAAAAATTGTGTAATCCTACTGCTATGCGAAACCATAAAGCTGTTGTTATAATTAACACTAGATACAGCCTACGGCGGTTTTATTGATGTCCAACATTAGTACAAAATTCTGTCGTATAAATTGAAACTGCCCGATTAAAACGAAGATGTCCTATAATTTTTGAATTGTAAAAGATTCATAAAAGTAGGATAATTATTTATAAATATATTTTAGAAGCTTATTTATCTCTAACTCATAAGATAGTAAAAATATATATACGTTTTTGTATTTCTTCTGTTCTGAAATTATTACGCAATGTTATGTAAAGAAACCTATAAAGTAGCATGTCTCTATATATCATTACGGGTCTAAGAAAATATAGTCAAATTGGGAACATCCTCTTCTTTGAAGTCGGTCGGAAGTTACATTTAGCGTAACAGAAGATATGAAAAGAGGGCGCAACCTTGTACACCTCATCGTCGAACATGAACCATTCTATTACCTATATTTAGAACATCGGGGGTACAATAAAATTTTGATTGCTCAAGTCTCGAACGACCGCGACCTTGCAACTGTTAGGACTTTGGCCGGAACATGAATCACGCGGCTACACGCCTACTAACACCACATTGTGTGTCACCTAATATGTAGATTGTAGACATCAGTTCCATGTAGGTGCTCGTGTACGCGGTGAACCTAGATGACCATAACTAGACGCAAATGAGAGCAATTTAAGAGGATAATATATAACCATAACAACTCATTAACGTCCCACAGCAGGGCACTGGTCTCTCCTCATAAATGAAGAATTAGTCTAGTTGCCCTTTTACAACAGCTTAGGTAAAAAAGCAATGGTTATACATATTTATATCTAATATTGTATATGTGAAAGTCACTTTACTTACTTATTACGTTTTCATGCCTTAATCAATCATCATGTAATTTGACATATACGTAGCATTTGAGTGTGGGAAAATCGTAGGCCACGAGCCTGTTCCAATCGATCATGGTCAAGCAGATCATGATTGCAGTCGCCGGCAGAAAATACCATATGCAGTGGGAATAGCCTACGCTTCTGTTTAGAATGGAATTTCTAGTCACAGACATACATTTAAATTCTGAACACAACGTTACCACAGATGGTTAGTATGTGAACATACATGGTTAACATCCAATTGTACAATTATTTTACATGACAATTGGTGTAAAAAATATAAAAGGCCACACTCAGTTATACAGACGCTATTATTAAATACTACAGTAGAAAATAAACAATCTACTAGACAACTATAAGTAATTAAAAAAATTCTGAACCATTGATGTAATGGACATTTATAATTCATTGAGGGCAATCATATAAAATTTCTTTTATTACACATTTATGTGTTTGCTCACAAAGAATCAGGTATCACATTTTTATTTTCACACGGTATCAAAAATAGTGCCTAGTAAGAGATACTGGCGCTGTTTCAAACGATATATTCACATTATGAAATTACCCAGATATCTAGAAAAAATAGCTGGCCCATTCCACGCCAATACGTAAGTACTTATATTTGTCTGAATGTATTGAATATATAAACATATATGTATGTATAATAACAGACAATATCGTTGTATTGGTTTTTAAATATTATATTATATGTATGTTAGTCTATAAGGTATTTATAATAT